ATTTTACCACCCTGTATCTAAAGAGTTAGGACGTTTAGGTCATGCGTTCATATAAATCTTTCTTACATTGAGAATTCGCATTCTCTATATGATGAAAATGAAGGTTCTTCCTCGGTCCATTCAACAGAAAACAACTGATTTTCTGGCTATATACCACGAACAACATTGAATTATATCTATTGAACATACACGATAAGAATTCGAACATAAAATCTTCTGAAGTTGGGAATTTGCATTCTCCTTCACCTAAAAACATATGAGTATGCACATTGCACATGCTATCATTCTGAATATTCAACAGCCACTTTCCGGGCAATATGCCACGTCGAACATTGAATTACATCCAGATGGACAACATAAAAATGAACATCCTGTGAGGTTGAGAATCGATATTCTCCTCAAAATACGATAAATATTGATAATATGATGTTTGATTGTATAAAATTATCATCAACCAATTCCTACATTATTTCTCTTGGTTCTCACGATGTTCTCTGAACATTACAGGATATTCCTCTTCGTGGGAACCAGAACATGTAAAAAATATTGGTAGTATAATTTTTTCACTTTTTCAACATCGGAGCCACTCATTCCAAAGTAATAATAGTTTTACAACAATGACTTTGATATTATTCTAATGTGCTTCCATAGATAATCAACCAGAGTGAATCTAAAGACGGAATTATCAGAATACAATGAGTTCTACCTTCCTATATTCTATAGGATACTTTGACAAACAAATTCAATAATTTCAGATTTCATTTTTTGAATAGAGAATATGCAGAGGAAAAAATCCCTTCGGATAGCAAATCTCACAGGAGAATACCCAATTATTGAGATGAATCTATGTTTCCTCGCCCTACTAATTCAATCTGAATACAACCCTGGATGCTATTTCCAAAGCGGAAGGAGTTGTGAATTATTGAAATTCAGAATGGACGGAAGATTTATAGATATATACATACCTACGTATAAGAAAGTTGGACCAGAAACAAAAATTGATATATATTACAACGGAAATTGACATAAATAGGTCCGAAAATAGGAATTGATGATAAAAGTATGATTCAAAGGAGTATTTCCAGAAATCTGAAAATATGTCTCCTTATCTTTTGAGTTTTCGCCATGCAAATTGGGAACGAAATGAATGAATATACTCCAGAACTTGTCACTATTTCGCAGAGTCCTTATGAGTGTGTGAGAATTTCCTCAGATCATTATATGTATTATGATAATAATAATAAATCGCTTTCATTGATAATGATAATAAATAATACAATACAAATAGTAGATTCACGAATGACTCATAATAATTAATAATCAATTCCTACGAATCTTAAAGTTTTCAATAATACTCGATTTTCCACAAAAATATTATTTTATCGTAACGCCTGTACATATATCATTGAGGCTCACATCATCAGTCATTCAAGAAATGATATCTTGCAGGAATTTTCCACCCCGAATGAGGTACTCTATTGAAATTTCATATAGGACTATGATGAACTACACCTTTTTCCGTTGTATTTCAGAAAGATTCACAAAGTTATAGTGACAACAACGATGTGATACTTCCCGGACTAGGCCGGAAGAATGCTAGAAGTGAGCACTTCCCGGACACAAATGTTTGATGAATTGAATTGTGTCACCGAATTACACTCTACTTTTTTGTAGTGAAAGTTAATTTGGCATTTATAATTCGAATTTTGTTGCCATCAAGGGCATCAAGTAATTCAACTCAAAAAACTACCAGAAAAAATTACTCGTCCTAGGGACTCGTAATTTTTTTCAGAGGCAGCTTTTTTCGTTAATTTGCCAGGCAACAATAGTTATTTATTATACAAGGGAAAAAAGTAGTATAGACTTCAGCTCCAGGTTGTGTTGTGACAAAAAACCGTGAGCTAGAATCTGATATTTTTCCCGTGTATAATACACTAATTTTTTTGTGACAGAAGAAAAGACGAATCGATATTGAGAAGATATTACATTATTTTGAAATCTGAAAATTATCGACGTGAAATTTCAAGTTTTCAACAGTAGGGACACCTGCGTTGTAGGCATCTTTATCATTCTTCTGAAGCAATCGAAAATCATTTGATTCTAAAAAATTGCGAATTTAGTGGTTGTTAAGTGAAATACGTATCCGCAAAGCCGAATGGAAGATAAAAGGACTTGCAGTTCTTCCTCAGAGACGGTATTATTGACTCATTTTTCGGAACTATAGCACAACAAAAGCCATCAATGATGTATACAGGGTGGTCCGTTTTTCAATACGGAAAATTTAACAGCGTATAGTACTCGTTGAGATAATAAATGAACTTTCTATGAACATATACTTTTAAACTCTTCGTTTTCGAGATATAGGGTGTTCAAGTCCATAATACTTTATGTAAAAAGTCGTTATTGTTGTCAACTTTATTTAAGATAAATTCCGAAAAAGACACACTCTTCTCAGGATCTTCAGGATGTAAATGTTGTACCGGCATCAAATGAAAAGGCTTCCTGTGATCTAAATGTAGTGTTCGTAGAATTTTCGATTTTGAAACCTGAAAAAAAGTCGGAATTATTACTTTTATTCATGCGTGCAATAGTATACACTGATGATGCCTAGTATTAAACGAAAAAAGAGAACCAAAATTACTGAAAGCATGACATGATATTAGTTTATAAATTACCTGCAACTGTTGAGCTGCGCTTTTCTAGAACTGATTTGTTGGTTGACATCAAAAAATCTAAGAATGTGATTGTTATTATTTCTTCTCAGTGGTCCATTATTTCGGTATTGTTCATTATTGCCACGTAACCTAAACAAACTGTGCCCAAACTGACGGAAACGTGAGTGAGTATTGATAAAGATTCGTGCATTAGGTACTCTTCTCCTAGGGAAGCGATTTCTGTATTCCATTACAAAATCCGTAAACGAAATGAATATCTGCATAATTTTTAGTACTAAATCCAAACGGCAAAATTGGAATGAAATTATTACACTTTTTGATAAAAACACGGAATAACTCCAGTTTGTTATTTCTTTGACAGAATTTTCAGAGTGAGAGCACATATAAACAGTGAGCAGTGAGCAACTGAGCATACCCTACTTCTTCAATTGATATCAAGTAGTATTTTTTGATGTATTATTCGATGTTATAAAATCTTACAAGCGAGCTTTTCTCATTGAAACTTGAAAAATAAATGAAAAATAATTACCCGAAAAATTTGTGTAATTATTACCTTCGACACCTCAGATTAAGCCGCCACTGAATAGTTTTCATGAATAATTTTTATTTAGTCTAATGAAGCTCAAAAAGTTTAGTATCTGTGGAAAATGTCGTTAATTTATCTACCGTTTCTACCTTTTGATTAAAAAAATGAATTCAGGAGCGTATTTTTGACACCCAGTATCTCAAAAACGAATCGTTCAAAAGTATATGTTCATAGGGAGCTTTTTCATTATTCCAACGAGTACTATATGCTGTTAAATTTTCCGTATTAAATAACGGACCAACCTGTATATATGTGATATATATCCGGGAAAAAGTAATTTATGAAAAGTTACATTTTATAACCTACCAACAGAGATGAAATCCCAAACTTTTTTACCGTCTCAGAAAAAAATTCTTATTGATACATGACAAGTATACGTCGACAAAAAAGAAGCTCTTGTGTAATTATGAGTGACAAATAGCTCGAAGATGTCATATTTATATCCAATTACTGTTCAGATCAGAAATTACAACTCAACCTTTCATCTGATTTCCTTCAACATGGAAATAAATGGAAATCAGATACGACGTTAGGCATGCAAATCCTATCACCGCATAAGTTTCCTTCGCGACAATCAACGAAGAATGCCAACATCAAAGTGCGTGTACAACTGTAAATACGTTCCGAATAAAAACGAACAACAGATTACAATTATGTTAAACACTGTTTTTCAATTTAGAAAAATCACACACTCCCAATACCAACTGGGACACTCACCGATGTAAAGAAAAGTTTCTTTTCGAACGATATCCCACACACATTCATGGACAGGGTCAAGATCATCAAGTTTATGAGAGAAATTGGGCTGTTAAAACTGGTGAAGCGCACACATGGCAAGCTTTGACACACTTGATCCCAAAGAAACTTCGTGAATTATAATTAAAATCAGATGGTATCGATATACAGATATGAATATCGAATTCTCACAGCACAAGATTTGTTACTATATGTTGTTAACATATTCATCTCTTGGAGTACACGTGAGGGAATCCTTGTAATGTTGAGGAAATGTATCAACCGATTCGATTGATAGATTTATTTACCACATACAGAATGTTTCTGATTGAGGTAAATTAAGACTGTTCATTTTTTAAATCAGTACCATTGTTTCATAATTAACTCTTAGTTCATGGCTGTTATTCGGTAGTTTCAATGGGCTAAATTCTATGAGATTTGTAATTCAGTAGTAGCTATACAGTGTGTTCAAGATAGGGATGTCTATCATGGGGTGAACTTGATGATGGTTTCTCCAAAACAAAATGTCGTACGGAGAATCTCTCCACGCTGTTTTATAGAACTTATAAAGTGGCAATGAGAAAGTATATTTTATTCGGAGAAACATGATAGACATCCTTATCTTGGACACAGTGTATAATGAAATTGAGTAATGCATTTTTATTTTTATCTCGAATCAGATACCATCCCATGTCATCAAGATGACGAGTTCAATAGTAGCATTTTTTGATTCATTGCATTACATCTTCTTCAGATAACATATCACAGTTAGATGATTTGAAGTGTTATTACCATCAATCAGTTAGTGAGTAAAACATAAAAATCTTCATAATATTTTATTGACTCATAAAAATAACAATGAGGTAACTTAAACCTATGGACCCAGTATAACTGAGCTCTGTACATAAGTCTCCGTCTGTCCTGTCAACGTCGAACATCCTAACATTCAAAATAAATTAATAAATTAATCTTCACATCTCTCGCCTTGAAAGCTCAACTTCCGCTCACGCTTGCTGATGCCCCCTGTACGCCAAAGACTGGGCATCGATGGACCTACCCCAACCCCCAGAAGAACCCCCTGAGTACCCTCCCAAATCACCTCCATAACCTCCTCCGTGTCCAGAACCACCAGCGTAGGCAGCCTCGTGACTAGAAATATGACTGGAAGAATGCTGCGCATGAGGAACCACCTCGTAGGTCACGTGCTTCTGTCCGCCATTACCCAGCAGCTTCTTGATCCCGATGATAGCTGAGAGGACCAAGGCGATTTTACCGATGATCAAGGCCTTACCAGCAATGAGGGCGATGGCTGCCAGGGCGAGCTTACCAAGGACCGCCATTTTGAGGGCCAGGATTCCCATGAGTGGTCCCATCATCTTGTTGCCTTTCATCTTCTTCTTCCTGGATTCCTCCACGAGGTTTTCTTCTTCAGCTAAGGTGTCTGCGTATTCGTTGAAGGAGCGTGCTGAGGAGGACACTGCGTTAACTATCTCACTGCCTTTGATGTCTACTTTGAGGGAGTGGTTGTCAAGGAAATCCGCGATCCTGGTGAAGATCAAGGACTCTATGGAATCGTCGCTGGATATGGCACGTGGGGCACCGTCTTTCTCTCCTGTTTTGACGAATTGCACTCCTTCTGTTACCGTGATGGTGTCCTTGTGGCCTAGCATCTTGTCCACGAAGTTGAAAACTTTGTACTTGAGACAAGACATGGAGTCTTTGCGCAGACAATCCGTGTAGATGGAGTCCAGAAGGTCGTTTTCGGTCTGGATGGAGTTGCCTCTGGCTTCATCCTGAGTGGGTAGGGCACTAATCGCGACGGCGAGACACAGAACTAAACCGGCGAGTTTGCAGGAAGCCATCTTGAGCGGACTGATGTGTTGTGATGATCGGAAGACGCGTATGGATATATATTAGGGGACCCCTACTACTGCTTTCGGGTGCTGAAGACTTCACAACGATTGCCTCGGGCTCGTGTCCGTTGGACCGCTTTCTCAGAATGTGTCTAACCTAGTTTTTAATATTCCTGCGTGCGATATGCGCGAAGAAGACGATTCTAAGTGCGGGAGGATGGTGTGCTGTGGTCTATGCGTCGATGCGTTTTTGTTGGGTTTCAGCAAGATGCATCATTATCGCGATTATATTGAGCGACGAAAGTGAAATTGTTGTTGCATATTCACTTGCGATGATGTTACGGGATTTTCACTCACTTATATGTACAGGGTGGCTGGAATTCGAGCCTTATCATTGGGATCTCGTAAACCGTAAGAGATACAGGGTCGGTCAAATCATGGTAAAGTTGCGCAATAGGATGCCTAAGAAAATGCTGTTCTGAAACTCGGAGATATCCGAAAAAAATCGAAATTTCATGAAATCGTTTTTATTTTTTTCTGGCGTTATTTGAAGAAATTAATCGATACGAATGGCACTTCATCATAGCCACTTTTTCTTGCCTATAAGATGACGTTTTCAGATTCGAAATCTGACGTTTCGTCTTCCAGAAACCATCATCAACTTATTTTTTTTACGGACCTGGATTTTTCATTTCATTTTTTGTTACTTTTGGATAGCCAAAAACTATGAGATATCACAAATTTTTGATATCCGATTTCCGAATGTTTCGATGACAAAAATTTGTGTTGAAAAGGCCGCTCGTGAAAAAATTGCATTCATCAGTCCAGATAATGTTATTTGATAAATCTTCATTCTGTTGCAATGTTCCATCAAACCAATTGCAGAATTCGAGCCTTCTCTCCGAATATAGGGTAGTTCAAAATTCAGAATCATGAATCACCCTGTATTCGTTCATTGTTGTTTCTGATAAAAGTGGCAACACTGTATCGATGAAGATATTTTAGAAGGATAGAGAATGTTCAATTATCAAAGCATCCCAATTTTCAGAATGTTCTGTCTTTTTGTTCTCCAGATACTTCTGATAGGCCATCCACCGTGGATCACCCTGTATAAATGGTGAACGCTATGAAACTTTCATGAGGGCCTTATTCCTGCATATTCAAAATTCTCGGTTCTCTCCCACTAAAAGTTGGGATATACAATTTGAACTTTCCAAGATCTTTCCTAAATTCCATTTAGATGTTAATTCATATTTGCAACTTGTTAAGAATCTGGTGTTCCCAGATATCACATCTACTCTGAGGAAATTTAAACTTCTATACTATCGATGCAGAACATATCAAGTTTATCAATTCCAAGTAAAGCATCGTCACTATTGATCAATTATTGAATTGTGGATACTTGCTTCAATATAATCATTACTACTTTATTGATGAGAAGATAAATATGTCACTTCAACTGACTTTTTTTATCAGATTAAATCGAAATAATAATACTCTATATGTACACCCGTCGTAGACTTCACTTTCGTATTCTTTCTCATCATCGACACCTCTAGAGATGATTCACTTATATAATAACCAATTTCATGGTGAGTTGTACTCCGTCTCAGTCCATTGACTCAAAAAGTGAATTGAAGATGAAGCAATACTTCGTTTATGAAGAAATCTACTTCATAATAATAATATCAAACACAACGTTCTATTATTGGTTTTTGAAAGAAAGCAATAACTGGTAATAAGTCTGCTATACTGTTATTGGTGTAAAAGTATCTCTCTGAACAATCAATTTCATTATCACTGTTGAATTTTTCTCACCTTCAATATTCCGATATGTTTGCATGTATTGACTATTAGAAATTATTCAATGTTAGTATGTAATAATTGATGCCGTATTGCATCAGTAGCCTAAGGCTAGATATGTGTAAGGAAATTCTCGAGCAATATCTAACAAATTACATCTAATTGATAAAATGAGAGTAAACGTCTATCCAGTTCAAAGTGAGAGTGAACTACTTGGTGTATATAAATAATTTTCCTGTTAATTATCTTTATGAAAATAATTCAATGCACGAGAATATCTTGTCAAAGAGGTCAATAAATGATTTAGAAATGGTTATAGATAGCTATCGCATATCGATTACAAGTAGGCAAGGCTTTTGGGTGTATGAATATGCTTTATTGTTCAATCTTGTTGACATATAGTGAGGGCCTAAACTAACCTTAAATTAAATAAAAATACACACACAAAAGAAGAAATGGGACATTGAGTTGACACCGACATATTGTGCTATATGTCTCATACCTACAACAATATATAAAATCCAGCGCATGGGCATGAACATCTTACAACATATTGAACATATTAAAAACAAGCTTGAGTTAGAATGCATCATTATAGAATTCCTGTAAACTATAATAGGGTTTACCCAACATGAGTGCTTTAACTGCCTTTCTGAAGTGTTGATGTGTTTTGGTAAGTGATTGAACTTCTTACCGCCTCCATAGATTATTGAATCTTTAATTAGTGTCAGTGATGGAATCGGGAGTTCAATGTTGCCAGCTTGACGGGTGTTTTGTGTTCAACGAAAAGAGGTTTACAGGAATCACGAATTTTTGCTTTGCACTTATATTTTACTGCACGTTTTTGTAGTACAAAAACAGAGTCCATGAGAAGAAAAATTTTTGTTTAAAATTGAAACATGTTCATCGAATTTCAATCTGCAATCTATATGAACACCTAATAATCTTGTATGTTCAGTGTTTCCTATAACATCATCACCCATGATCAGTTCATCTAATTCACCTTTGAAAGACATAATATTAGTTTCTGCCATATTCATAGCTAACTGGTTTCAGTCACACCATATTTTACCTCACACATATCCTCTTTGATAATTTCAAGAAGTTTTTTGGGATCTTTATTATTCCAGAATATACTCGTATCATCCGCAAACAGTGTTATTTTTCCTGAAATATTTATTCTGGCCAAGTCATTTATGTAGAGTAAGAAGAGAGTTGGTCCGAGTATTGACCCCTGAGGCACACCACATTCTACAGGCAACTCCTCGGAATATGTTGTTGTTTCAACAACTTGGCTTCGACCTGAGAGATTTGATTCAAACCATTTCTGAGAGACACAATTATTTCTTTTCGGTTAGAGAAGAGGTTGTGTATACTTAGTTCAATAATCAATATTAATGAGTAATACTCGGGCTATAGTATACAATATTTATTAGTCAACTCAAACGTTTCCGGCTCTAGGTCATCAGTGGTCACTGTCCTTCTATCTTGGTATCTTCTATCTTTTCGTTTCATGTCAATCTGTCTGTCATGTCTCGATTTATTTAGTTTCATGTCTTTTCTGCCCGGAAGTAGAGGGAACAGCATCTCAATTGATATTGCTATTTGAAATATTTTGGATAAATCCAAAAACATCTCATGAAATAACCAATGCTGAATGATACAATTCCATTATTTTTAATGCATATCTACTGTAAGAGTTAGAGTGGTCTTCACAAGTTAAATACCTAGGTGTGTGCATTGACGAAAAGCTCACCTGGGCCCAGCACATTGAACAGCAAGTTTCTAAAGCTAAACGAGCCATTGGAGCCCTGTATCCATTTCTAAACAGGCGAAGTAAATTGGGTTTGGGACAAAAATTGAATATTTATATCATGGCTATCAGGCCAATTTTACTGTATGCCTCAGTAGTCTGGGGACACACAGCTAAATCTCATATCACCAGATTACAAACATTACAAAACAAAGTCGCGAGAATGGTGACAGGATCTCCTTGGTATGTTCGGAATAACCAGATCGCCAGGGATCTGAAACTCCCTTCAATCGTGTCAGTCATTAAAGAACGAAACATCAAGACTTTCGAAAAAGCTGAGGTTCATGAGAATCAGCTTCTTCGAAATGCAGTTGATTATGACCCAGGTGATCAATCAAAGTTCAAAAGACCGAGATTGTCCATAAACTAGAGAAAATATCGACATTATGACCAAATTTACTATTCTCAAGATTTTTATATTTATTTTTTCCGTTCGATCTCTTTTAATTCTTAGAATGTATTTCTGAAACTTATTTGGGTCAGAAGGGCTGTTCGCATCAAACTTCAATACCGTTTTTATTTCGTTCCATAATAAATATCAGGATAAGAGGGACTCTTCCCTGGTCTGAATGAAAAAAAAAGAAAGATCCAATATACTATTTGACAAGTGAGATTACAATTTTATTCACATATTTTCTCCTCCGAAATTAACAAACTTTTCACCTCAAATATTTTACACACATGATACCTATAAAGGAGAATTCACTTTTCAGATACTCTCCTGATGGTGGCCTAGAGCCGAAAACGTTTGAGTTGACTAATAAATATTGTATACTATAGCCTGAGTATTACTCATTGAAATTGATTATTTCTTTCTGATTATCTTTCTTATCTACATCGACATTATTTTAGTCAGCTGATACGAAATAGGTAATCACTATGCTTTCATTCTAGCACCGGTCAATGTCGGTGAATTTTAGGTTATTCTTCGAGTCTATAGGCCACCACAGTTTCTAATTTTTCTCCAATAAATCTGTCACAAAACCTAGACCCCATCATCAATTATGGCCAGCCATGCTTCTAACACACTTCGGAATTATTTTTATGATATCACCACACCTTGAATTTTTCTCTGTTGATATGAAAACCTTTCACCGCACTCTTAATGAGCAATTTATATTGAAGAGGACCATCAGGTCGGTATAAATGAATGGATTTAATGGATTCGTGGTTTGTGTGATAGCTTATTTGCATAGAGACAACCGCCGTTTTCTATTGTCTTAGGTACGAACTACTTTTTCTATTACTATAGTATGCATGCTATAATGTTATTTTCATGCTTCTATACAATGTCAACAATGAGGTGAATACTTGAACATTTTCACTCACTCTCCTGAGATAGAGCAGGATCTTCAGGAAATTGAATTGAATAATATAAAAGCCCTAATAGCAC